AGGCTGTTGAGTCAAATCTGTAGAGGGTGCAGAGACAACAGCCCCAGAGGTACCACTGTGGAGGCAGCGGTCAGCTTGCCTAACAGGCAAATGTACGCAATGAAGCGGGGTGCACGGCCAGGCAGGAAGGCGGGCAGCATCTGCAGAATCCCGCTGACACGCTGTAGCAACGGGCAATCCACCATGGTGAGGGAGTTCATCATAGTTCCCAGGAACATGACCTCCTGAGAGGGAATTATGTTGCTCTTCTGCCAGTTCACACGAAGATCCAATAGGTCTATGTGATCTATGTGATCGAGCACCATCTGTGTGTCCACAGCTGCCTGAGCTTGTGTTGGCGCACAGATCAGCCAATTGTCCAATTAGGGCAGGATCTTCAACCCCTTGACCTGCAGAGGGTACAGGGCTGCTGCCACATACCGGGTGAACACAAGGGGGGACAAAGAAAGACTGAATGGAAGAACTCTGAATTGAAAATGCTTGCCCTGAAATGCAAAGTGGAGAAACTGCCAATGGTGCTGCGCAATCGGTACATGAAAGCATGCATCCTTCAAGTCAACCAAGGTGAACCAGTCGCCTGGAGAGACTGCCTGGAGTGCAGCTCTGATGTTCAACTTGTGGAAAGGAATAGTTTTCTGTTGAATTATGCTTGTTTCAATCTAGTTTTGTGTTTTACCTGTTTGTTTGTTTGTTTTTATTAGGTTTTTTGTTGTTGTTTTTTTCTTTTCTTTGGACATGTCCTGAATCGATCAACAGAGGATGCCATCCCTTCTATGGTCCACACTGCTCTCATCCACCTGAAGCAGAAGGACTCCTACGTCCGTATGCTCTTTGTGGACTTCACGTCTGCCTTCAACACCATGATTCCCCAAACGCTGATGGACAAACTACTCACACTAGGACTAAGCCCCTCCATTTGCAACTGGGTCCTGGATTTCTTAACAAACAGACCGCAGTCTGTGAGGTTCCACAACTTCTCATCCTCCACCATAACCCTCAGCACTGGCTCCCCTCAGGGCTGTGTGTTGAGCCTCCTCCTGTTCACTCTGCTCACATATGACTGTGCACTTACTCATCCAGGCTGTCATATTGTAAAGTTTGCAGATGATACAGATGCATCACAAACAATGAGTCCAGCTACAAGCAGGAGGTAGAATACCTGCAGAGCTGGTGCAGGAAGAACAACCTTCACATCAATGTAAAGAAGATGGAGATGATTGTGGATTTCAGAAGGAGCAAACACACCTCCCCACCCTAGGAGTATCTGCAGTGGACATGGTCTCCAGCTACAAGTACTTGGGTGTGCACCTGAATGACAACCTCAGCTCAGGCAACAACACTACCAGTCTGATCAAGAAAGCTCATCAGAGATTCTACTTCCTCAGGTGGCTGAGACGAGCTGGTCTGGGAAGCTCAGTCCTCACTTCCTTCTCCAGGTGTGCAGTGGAGAGCATCCTGTGCTCCAACATCAATGTGTGGCATGGAGGCTGCACAGCTGCAGAAAGAAAAGCTTTGCAGAGAGTGGTGAAGGTTGCACAGAAGTCTGTTGGAGTCAGTCTCCCCACCATCACAGACATCTACACCTCCAGATGCAGAAAGAGGGCCACCTGCATCATGAAGGACCCCACTCACCCAGCACACACAGTTTCTGCCCCACTCCCCTCAGGCAGGAGGTTGAGGAGCATTAAGTGTAGAACCACTAGACTGAAGAACAGCTTATACCCTGAGGCTGTCAGACTCATGAATTCCTAATCAGGATAATCACTGTAAGGAGAAAAGAAAAATCACTGTAACACCACTTAAATTGGTGATATGTGACTTATCTGTGCTGCTGATTATCCATGCTGCTTATTTCTTGCTTTTATGCTGCTGTGTCCATAACCATTTGCTCACTACAGACTCATGTCTGGGCTGCTGTTTAATATACCATATTATTTTACATTATTAGTGTTTAGCGCATGTTTCTTTTTATACTTTTTTTTTTTTTTTTTACTAATTTTGGGTGTAACTGGGACCTTGAGTACACGGTTTAATTTCACCTCATGTACCACATGTGATGCAAATGACAATAAAGAACCTTGAACCTTTCAAGATTCAACATGCTTCAAGAAGATCTTTCATTTATCAGGCTCCTCTCTTGTGGAACCAACTTCCAGTTTCTGTCTGTAAGGTTGACACATTGTCCAGTTTTAAGACTGGGATTAAGACTTTCCTTTTTGATAAATCCTATAGTTAGAATTGGCTTGTCATGTTTTCTCAAGCTTAGACTACTAGAGGACAAATTGACCTCAATTCCTTAAATGAATTGTTAAAATTGAATCGTTTTTTATTATTTTATTTCTATCTTGACACGTGATTCTTGACCTGCCATTGTGTATCTGTTCCTCCTTCCTGTTCCTACCAAACCCAGCCGGTCGAAGCAAATGTCCTTGTCCTTGCAGATTGTCCTGAGCCTGGTTCTGCTAAAGGTTTCTTCCTCACAAGGAAGTTTTTCCTTTCCACTGTTGCCTTCATGCTTGCTCAAGATGAGAGTTCTGTGATGGAGTTAAATTCAAAGCAGTCTGCTCCTCAAATAAATAATGTTAAATTATTATTTTTATATATGAATATTTCTGTTCATTGCCCTCAGATGACTTATGTTGCTTGGCACTGTATAAATAAACTGAATTGGAAAAACTGAATTGAATTGAACCTTGAACTTTGAATGAATCTGACAACAACCAAACTTCATTTCAGTAGTCTTGTGCCAACTGCCCAGCACGGTGCAGGAGCGTTGATGATTTGGGCTTGTTTTGCGGGAATAGGACTCGAGCACTGTGTAGTACTTGAATATTAAAGAGTGAGTCACGGGGCATCTCTCAGACTTCTAAAGCTTGGCTGAAATGAACCAAACAGCAGCTAATCTACAGAATGACTATACAATGAAAATAATCCAGATGTTGTGATGATCCAGTCAAAGTTCAGACCTCATGCTGATTAAAATATTGTGGCTTAGGAAAGCTAGGTGCCTAGCTAACAGCTTCCCTGTTGGTTCAGTGGTACAACTGTGACTGGATGTAATCTTTATTTCCCAGCAACATCAGAATGCATCTAAACAAGCGGTGCCTTGGAAAAAAATCCAGATGACAACCAGCAGAAACGTTTGTTTTCTCAGCATGTTTCTACAGAGAGATGTCACATGGTTTATTAATTTAATGGAGAATTTGATTCCTGAAGATGAGCCTACTGGCTTTTATCTTAAAGTCCAAATACCTCAAATACACAAAATCCAGATATCAGTGTAAGTCAGTGGTTTTCAAACTGGGGTCCCCAAGCCAGTGGTTGGGGGTCCACAAAAAATAAAAAATAAATATATATATATATATATATATATATTTATTTTTTTTCTTTGTACAAGCAGTAGATGTTTAACAGCCCTTTAAAATACACTAAAATGCAGGAAATCACATCTAATTTGTTCAAAATTTTCAGGGCGAGGACCCCCAGACCCCCGGCCCGCCTGCTATTTGTTCCAGCATCTATCAGTTTACAGATTAAACCATTGCTTGGTGTGACTACTGCTGTTATGATTCTGTTCAGTTTGTGTAAAGAGTTTTGTGTAATAATTTGAAGAAGTGTCAATACATTTATTATGTTCATTATGTAAAAGTTTTAAAGTGGCTTTTGATGCTGTTAATTTACTCAAAACTGTAATTTTTGGAAGTTGAAGTTATAAAATTTGTTAATTAAGTGTGTCTTGAATGAAACACACACCATGTTTAAAAGTATAAAATTTCTGTTAACGCTATTAAAGAACAGGTCTTAAGTCTTTATGTTACACAAATACACTTTCCATTGCATTAAAGAAACAATTTGGAGAAAAAAATTAATTAATATGAGGGGGTCCCTGAACCCAAAAAGTTTGAGAACCCCTGGTTTAAGTGACTGTTTTAAGACTGATTAAATAAATGATTGACTCAAGAGCTGACCGGTCCACACCGTGTCTTTGTATTTTACTGCCATCAAACCGTTAAGTGGACTTATCCATCACTTTGATTGACTCTCATCCTGGGATCTTTCAAGTTTGACTCACACATGGGAGACTTTGTGTTTGTCAAACCTGAGAAGCTGCCCTCATGATGCCTCAGAGAGTGACAGCACCTCCAGTCTCGCACACCCTCGGCACCCGCTCCAGCTGAACACGCTGAGACACGCAACCATACAGCAAACGCACAACATCGCTGCTTGTGTGAGCGGGTGGGGGGGCAGACTCAGCGGGGCATGTTACACATGTCTCATGTTGTCATTTCTGTTAAACCAAACTTTGAGTTGTGACTCTTTCTTTACTCCCACCATGGTGGATACCTTAAACCCTACAAGGGTGGTGTGCCCTCAGCTTCCTCCTTGTGTGGAAATAAGATTCTTTTGGTCGACCACAGTCAACGAGTAGACACAAGTTAAACTTCTCTCCTGTGAAGAAGGCTCGAGCTGATACTCCAAGCTGTTCAGGATTTGAAAGTGGGCCACGCTGACATTTACGTGTCATTTTTTTCTGCGTGCATCTTCTGCTTCTTTCATAAATCCCAAGAAGTGTGCACACCGAGGTGCAAACAGACTCATGCAAGGTTTGTGAAATTAGATCTTTACTCCTGGAAACAGACTTCACATACAATAAATTAAAATGCACCATTTATACAAACAAATTCACCTTCATAATATGGATGGGGGGGGGGTGTCTATTGGGACATTAAACATTGTCACAAAGTACACAAACAAATAGGACGCATCACAACTGTGCCAGGTACACTGAAGCCTTTACACGTCAGGACTTTGAATCGTTGACGACCAGAATGAGCTTGAAACAAAAAATAAATCTGAGGATGACGTTTCAAAAAATAAATGGGGGGAGTTTCTCTTCTTTTTCTTCACTATGAAGATCAGAATAATGCAGCTGCTGGAGAAGAACAAACCCTGGGAGGTGTGATGCTGCTGTGTGTGTATGTGTGTGTGTGTGTGTGTGGGGGGGGGGGGGGGGGGGTCTCAGGCATGGGACACAGGCAGCGAGGTCATGGTGTGGGCTGGCAGCAGCGGCTGAAACATGGAGGGAGGAGAGTGTACTGCAGGTAAACAGAGGAAAAACAGTTAGACTTGACAGCATGCCAGTTTAAAAGATTAGTTTTTATTAAAGCGTCAGGAAGGAACAGCTTCGTCATGTGTTCAATCCAAAATGTGTGTGAATTTGTAAATATTGTAGTCAATTCATTCAGTGTCTCTCACACTAAAGCTAATGTTCAAAATAATAATTCTTGGTGGAAATGATAAACACGGCAAAATAAAAGTTTTGTGACGCAGATCCAGTTATTTTTCAAACATTTTAAATTAAACAGATTTGCTCTGTGTGTTTCTCTTGTTCTGTTTTTATCATCATCATCATCATCATCATCATTGTTATTATTATTATTATTATTATTATTATTATTAGTTTGTTTATTTAAGTTCTACCTAAATATTTTCAAACATAAAATAATAATTAAAACTAATTAGCAAATATTTATGAAAATAAAAGCTGCAGCAGATTACTAAATTCATCTCACTGGTGTCTATCAAACACAAATTAATTTCAATATTTTTCACCACATATATTATAGTTTGAGTAAACTGAATGTTGGTATTGCTGATAAATCTGTTGCTGCTGTTACACTTGAATTTCCCATCCGTGGGACAATAAAGTCTGTTTCTATTCTATTCTATTCATCTGTCAGGGATCTTCTCCATATTCTTTGGAGTTGAATTCAGTTGCAAACCTACTGGAACAATGTGATTCTAATGACATCAGAGGTGTGTGGACTGTCTTTGATTTTGATCCTAAGATTTGGATACTTGGACATGTTGCATCCCTGAAACCATTTCCTTGCAAGAGATATTTTGTTTTACTGGCATCTTCTGCAGCAAAAACATGTATACTTAAAAACTGAAAATCTATGGAAGCTCCAAATCAGAAACAATGAGCTGTTGTCGTACTGCACTCCTGAAAAAATTCTCCATTCAGTACGGGGGACGTTAAGAGAGTTTGACCGGACATGGACCTTTCTGGACATCCTGACGAGACTGGACCTGTAGACTGGTTTGTATTTGTTATTTCTGGTTTTCTAAATGTCTGTATTGTTGCATAGAGAGAGTGGGTGGGTTCTATTTTTTGTTGCTTGTTTTTCCAATTAAAAATAATGTACTATTGTCAACTAATTGTACATTTTAATTCACTGTACATGCTCAATAAATATATCTATACAAAAAAAAAATTGTGCATTATTTCTTCATCTTAAAATGGTATGTTTATCAGTGATAAATAAAGGTTGAATGAATGAATGAATATCTTAGTGCATCAACCTATAAAATGATATAACACACTGTTTCAAAATATGAATAGTTTAAATATGAATGGTTTTCAATTAGGTCACAAAATAATTTATGGTTTGGTTGGTTTTTTTTTTTTTTTTGTTGCTTGTTTATTTGTTTTTCTAACTAGTATTTCTTGTCTGAATAAATTGTGGGGCCAGATGTTAAGCTAATTATTTTAATCACAATACTTCAAAATAAATACATTGTATTTAAATCAGATTAGATATTTTGATGCTCATGATGGTAAAAAAGTAAATATATTCAATTTAGAAAATTTAATGCTTCATTTTTTTTATTTTCAAATGTAATTTGTGGTTTTTGAAAGTCATTGTTAAGTCAGTAATATAAAATGTGGATAAAGTAATTAAAGTGTAAAAACACAAATTTAAAATGTGTCAAAACAAACATCTAGTTTTTGGTCAGATGACGAGAAGCACTGAAAATAATAAAATAAGTCCTCATTAAAAAAAAAAATCTTTATGCTTACTGTCTATGAAGGAGTGGAGCGCAGAGAGCATTGAGCCTTCCGGGCCTCCGTAGGCTGTGTACTGCAGCTCCTCAGGGGTCGGGGTGGGCTGGGACAGGCGGCTGGGCTGCAGGGTGGTCATGGGGGTGCTGGAGGTGTGGTTGGGGCTCACGTGCTTTTTGTGGCGTGCTCGGCAGTTCTGGAACCAGACCTGCGTTATTTTCAGGACAGAACACGACTTACAGAACGTTTCAAACAGCTTGATGGAGGCTGGTTGGACAAAACAGTTGGATGTGCTGCGTGCACCCTGATGTCTCTCTGCTCCATCATGTGTTTGTGTTTGCAGACACTCACACTCACCTGTATGACTCTCCGACTGAGGCCCGTCTGCTCTGCCAGCTTCTGCAGGGTTTGAGCATCAGGGTTGTTGTCCTGAGCGAACTGAGCCTGCATCACCTGCATGTAAACAAGCAGAGGTAAACAACAGCAGGCTGCATGCGGTCATCTGGATGTGTCTGCTCAAAATCAGACGAACTGAAGGGCAATGAACGAAAAACAAACAAAAACACTGTAAGAATTTGAAATTGGATGATTTAAGGATAGTTTTGGTATAGTTCCTGCATCATCAACTGAATCAGTTCAGGTAAAAATAACAGCCAGAAAATACATTTTATGTTTTCATAAAAACTACAAATTCAAATCTGCTGAAAATCATAATGTTATTCTCCTAATAGTTCTGACAAGGATAAGTCAGGTCCTCTGGATGGACAACAGGAAGAATCTGTCCAAAGGACTTGACTTAACCTTGTTAGATTTATCTACCTGGATTACTGAGCATCAGGGTAGTTATACTTTACTAAAGCAGAATACATTATTATTAATATTATTAATCCAATTTTCAACTCAATCTTTAAAGAGATTTTTTTTTTACATTTCTTGTCTTCTAAAATGTAAAAAAAAAAATTTCCTAAAGCCTATGTAAAAAGAAAAAAATAAATACACACACAATATATATATATATATATATAAATAAAAACAAACCTGTAGCTCAGTAATCATATAGACAAATGATGCTTGCCGATCTCTT